TCAGCAACCTTGAACTACTACCATTGAGCTAAAACCATTATGAACGTACATCTGACCAACGACAACTCGATCGAGAGAGAGAACGATCCTATCGTTACTCCATCGAGGAACATCAATCTTGTTCGAAAAGCGTTCGCAAGTCGAATGCAAATCGATCCCGGCTATTTTTAATCGTTCCAACGCTACCGGGCATCCATGCATGAAGAACGAATATTAGAAAGTAGCCCTGTTCGGCTAATTCCCGATCGATTCGCCGTGAATCGGCAAGATCGATCCGCGATCGAGTCCTCCCGATGTAACCGACCGTGATTTAGCCTCCACGCTGATTGACTTTCACGTTCGTAGGTAGCTAGAAAGTAGCCTGGAACGATAATCGACGAGCGACAAGCGTGTTTCTCGATGTTCTTTGGAACACTCGCGGCGAATAGCCATCCGACGTGGACAATCCGTGAACTCTCCAACTCCCGGTTTACCGTATTTCCTAGTGAAACTACTTTCGAGGGACCGTCCCTCTTCAGTTCCAAGCCGAATACTTTCATCCCCTCTTCGCAATCCATCCCGAAGATCTCCTTAGGTTAATGTTAATCGTTAATCTTCTTACTTCACATTCCTCCTATTTTCTTTCTTCTTCTTTTTTTTTTCTTTTTCTTTTTTGGTTCCTGTCTAATTGATAGTTGACCGTACGCTGCACTGGTCCCATCGATTTATGGTATCGTAAAAAAAAGGATTTAATCTGGCTGGATTTTTTTAGTGGCATGGGATGTTGTCCGAGAAATTCTGATTACCAAGTTCTGGATTTTTGTCAGATTGTTTGGTGTTTGATTTTTGCAAGCAATTTTGGTGTTAATTGCGTCACACGCGCGTTTCGTATGCGCGGAGTATGAATGTAAAATAGTCTTCGATGTAGTTGTTTTTTTTTTGTTTTTTTTTTTTTACGTAAGTTATTCTATGATATACGCCTACTCTCATGAAAATTATTTGAAGATTATTTTATTGATGTATAAAGAGGGCAATAATTAAAGAAAAAAGAAATGTTGGATATAATTCCAACGATCGCAATAAAAGACTAATTTACTTAAGGAAGTAGCTCAAGTCATTAAGTATCGAGCAACAGTATGCGGAAAGTTCTTTTATTAAACAAATGTGAAATGAAATAAATTGTTCCACGAAGATGCGAAAAATAGATAAACTACAGAAAAAATAAATCGTAAAATTTGAAACTTAATGTTATAAAGTAACTCAATTTCTTCGTCAAACTTCAAACTAAATAGAAAAATTCTTTTTGTAATCAGTTTAATGGAATTCAATAGTGCGAATCAACTAAAAAGAATTACAAATGATATACTGATTCTTAATCGGTTAAAAGCGGCTATTTCGTGAATTAACACGTTCAATCTCTGTCATATTTTCTATCGCCAAAATCTCAACTCTTAATTGGTATTATTACCCAGTCATCGGGGACCATAATTTCGGATTAGATTAACTCAACTTTGAAATTTTCAATTTAATTCCATTTTATTATCAATCTCTGTCACGGAGAATTTAATGCTCTAATTCCCAATAATCTATCATAAATTATGATAGTCATTCGTAATCCGAGGATTGACTTTAGCAGGTATCATTGTTTTATAATTTGAATTAATTGGAATTTAATATCCTGCTGTTCTTCTCACTTCGGCTGTCTTTCTTTTTTCCCAACACTTTCTTTATAATAAGCACCGAATATAAATTGAATATTCAAAAATTGTTTAAAAAATAATTTAATAATATCTCATCTATTAAAATAATAGTAGTTACTAAAAACATAATGATTCGTTGAGGATCAAGAGATATTATAAATATATATCATATTATAATTAATAATATACATATAATAATATATAGTAATTTTCATAAACTAGTGAAAATGAAATGAAATGAAATGATACATTATCGCAATATAGATCCGAGAAAAACAGCAGGATATAACACAATATACAACTATTGAAACAAAAGAATAATAATCTAAAATAAAATATTCAATCCAAATCAAAGGAGTGCAAAGCAAAACAAAGAAACAACTCTACTTTCCAATAATTTTAGCAAAAAAGCAATTCGTATTAATAAACTTTCGCTTGAAATTAACTTCTTTCCACACCAAGTGAAAGATCATATATTTTTTATTTTAATAAAATAAAATATGTAACGAAAGATGTAAGAAGATGAAAAGGTGGAACTGTAACCCCTTCTTGCTGCAAACCTTCCAATTCTTGCAACGATACCAATCGAAAGTTCAAATTGAAGACGTTTCGAAAACAGAAGATACTTCTTTGGTAGATCGTCATATATTTAAAAATGTTCCTCTAAAATTTCGCGTTAATGTTCCTCGTAATCAAACAATCCCATATATTGGAGAAACTAAAACTAAAACTAAAACTTCAATTCGTCATTTTGGGCTTGTGGCTTATTTTCAAAAGCGTTTGTACTATCACCCTCAACCGGAAGAGAAGTGACAAAGGACACGTATAAATCGATGGGATCGCGGGGTTAGTTGCGTTCTTTTCGCGTTCCTGCCTCTCAGAAGCATCGTACGTACGAGGGAATAGCAAAAGCTAAGAGAAATCGTGTCGTGGAGTAGAGCTATTTTCCAAGGGGTGGCTCACCCCCTGGAAAACCGGGGGGATGGGCACATCTTTCTGGGTCGAGTGGACGTTTCGCTCGCAACGGAATAATTAACGAAACGAATGTATGTGTGTATGGTCGTGTGTATCTGAACAAGTCAGAAACTCTTCTATATGTGTGTGTGTATGTACGTATGCATGCCTGTGTGTGTATGTGTGTGTGTGTGGTTGGGCGAGTGAGTAGAAAAGAAGCAGAAGAAGAAGAAGAAAAAAAAAGTGGGAGTCTAAGTATCGCACGCACCTTTTAAGTAGGAATTACACGCGTACACACACATTACATGAGGGCACAAATCGTGTGAATACCTTTTTTTGAAACAAGAAAGAGAAAAAAAAGGGATAAAAAGAGAAAGATTTAGGGTAGGTCGACGACAGTGCCACGAAAAAATAAATGCGAAAGTAACGGAAATACTAGAAAATTAAAAAGGAAACGAGGAGCAGAGAGAGAGAGAGAGAGAGACAGACAGAAAGAGAGAGAATGTGTATGTGTATATGTGAGTGTATATGTAAGAAAGGGTAAGAAAGGGTTAGAATGTGAACAACCATATAGGCGCACAGAAAAAAGGAGCGAGAATGAAAGAGAAAGAAAGAAAATCGGTACGAA